ACACACACACACACACACACACACACACACACACACACGCACACGCACACGCACACGCACACGCACACACATTCTCACTCTCACTCTTTTTATCGCCTGCTCAAAATAGTAAAGAGGCAAAATTAATACTGTCATTTCCCTCCAGATCTGATGGAAAGCCACACCGGATCCTGCAGAGCGGCTTCACAAGGTGTTATTTAATATCGTCAATAACTGGTTACAGTTTAACCCGTGAGGCCTCAGAGTTTTAGAAGAAAACACTCAGAAGTTGATGAATGTGAATAACAACAAAGACATGACACTCAGAGACAGGGGCAAGGTGTTGATTGCCTAAAAAGAAATGTGCAAGCCCAGATGAGAAGAAAAGTCTCCTTTCTGATGGACATGACGGAGAAAAGAGACCAATCCAGCTTCAAAGACGAAACAGCAAATGCTAACCACTCATCTGTATTTATAACATAAAACTGACAGTTTGCTGTGAAAGTTGATCTCCCAGTGCAGCTTCAATCCACTGACTTGAGAGCTTACTTTATTTACAGTAATGCCTGTGGGTTCATGAAATTTGCTACAAGACAGTTTATAACTCCCAGCATTTAGGAGCAAAGTTCCCTAAAAAATTAAGATGTAATTGAAATTGCCCATGCTTCTTTTAACTCGAACGCTGCATATCATGTCAACAAAACATGGTAATAAAAACCAGTAGGATTTACTACAAAGGAAATGGTGAGCACGGTAGATGGTGTGTTCACCTGTCTCTAAAGGTGAACTATGAAACTGAGGAATGGAAAGTTGGATTGCAAGGACAACCATTTTACTGTCTTCCAGAGCTCCATTTATCCAGCAGTGCCTATTTGTCTAACACATGCTTTATTCTTATTGCATGCATCCATCTTTATAATGAAACAAACTTCCCAGGTGTGAAAGATTTAAATTGCATATGCATGTATATGGTGTGTGTGGTGATGGGGGGCATGGAGGTATGTGGGGGGGTATGTGATGGTGTGGAGGGGTGTAGGTAAGAGGGTGTGAGTGTACATACTTGTGTGTTTGTAAATGTAACTATACAATTTACCACAGAATACATGTGGAGGTTAGAGGGCAGCCTTAGATACTGGCTGTTGTCTCCCACCTTGTTTGAGGCAGGGTCTCTTATTGTTTCCCACTGTGTCCCTCGTGGGCCTGTGAGCCTCCAGAGGTCCTCCTGTCTCTCTCTTTCATCTCTCACTTGGCATCCTCAGATTACCGCTGCACGCCATTCCATCAGCTCTGCATGTGTTCTGGGGATCCAAACACCTGTCCTCATGTTTATCCAGCAAGTATGTTATTCACTCAGCCATCTCCCCAAGCCAGAGAGATTTTAAAATTAATAAATCCTATCAATGTCAAATCTTCCCAAAAGGAATACAGAAAGTGTGGTGAGGGTTGAGGTTTAAAAGCTCAGTGATAGAGCACTTTTTTAGATTACTTGAAGTCCATGGGTTGATTTCTAGCATAGAAAATAGGAGAGGGAGGGAGAGACAGAAAGAGAGTGTGTGTGGAAGGAATATCATCACACCATATAGCACAGTCTTTGAAACAACACAATATACAGTTTTCATTTTCAAAGGGACACTTCTTTCCATGGGACAAAGTAATCTGAGTACTGTTCTGGGAAGTCAGGCCATTAGCTGCCCTGAGCAATGTGTCCTTTTTCTGTAGCCAGACTGCTGAGAAAGTTCTACAGAGTGATCCAGTCGCACACTTTAGGGCACATGGACTTACAAAAACTAACGCTGAAATTTTGTTGGTTTTAGACCTCTGAAATAATTTGTGCTAATTAATGCATTCTGCAGGGACTCCACAGTAAGGTCATATAACACAAACATAAAATGAAGTCTTCATGATTCATAATATTTAATATTTATTTTTTCGTTATTGTAAGCTATAAATAGTCTCTAAGACTTTCCAGTGTTTTACTACTCTACCCATGTATATGCAGTCTCTATCAGAGAAAGGGCGTGTTTTGTACAAATAAAACAAAATTCTTATTTAAACAACAACAAGAATGCTTAGAAAATACATCATTAAAGAATTCTACACAGTGTCTATTTGCTATAGTTTGGACATGTTTGACTTCCAAACATTATATATCAGGAGCTTGGTTCTCATGGTGACATGCTGTAGGAACTTTTTGAGGTGGCACTTGATAGAGGATCTTAACTCAATTAGATGTGTGTCATTTGAAGAGAGGAGTGCACCTGTCTGTCTCTGGGCTCCAACTTCAGCAGTGTGACCTTTGCTCTTGTGACATCAACACAAGCTAAGAGGCTCCTTACTAGAGCTGAGCCTGTGGCAACAGCATGTCCCTGAATGTGCAAAATTTTGAATTAAGTAATCTTTATTTATAAAGTTTATATTTAGGTAATTTATTACTGTAGTAAGAATAGACTAATATACAACGTTGCAGAAAACTTTAGGCTAAATGTTTTCTGGTACTTGCCTGGCTTCCATTCATTAATTTTTATAGCTTGACTTTTTTTGTGGAAATGTCTGTTCCATAAACTTCTCCATTGCTCTGCAAATGACATTGGTCAAGATGACTACTCACACCTCCAAATCTTTGGATCCAGACTGACTAGTTCACAGATAAACAAAGGAACTTGAGTCAGGATAGTTTCAGAGCCAGAGAATTCCAGTGCCAGAATTCTAATTCAGAAGAGAGACACTGTCACTGTGGGCACAGGTTTTAATTAATTTGAATCTTAATTGGGAGCACACAGCCTCCTAAGCAAGCCCTTCTTAATTGTGCCTTTCTCAATTTCTAGAATCTTTTGGAAAATAAAATCAGCCTCAAATGTGATCTTTCACTTCATTCGCCTGCTTTAGTCCTGTCAATCTATTTCTGGTTGCTAGACTCTTATTTCCTATAGACATGTGTCATGCTTCATTCTCTTATAAGCACAAGATCCAAGGACCACTCAGAGAATAGAAAAGAAGAGCATGGAAGATCAGAATCAAGGCACCACGAAGAATTCAGCTGGAGAGTTTCTGACATGTTCCTCATCAACCAACCAACCAACCAACCAACCAACCAACAAATAGTAAAATAAATAAAACAACCATTCTTCAAAGGCAGCTTCTGTCCTGAAGATAGGCTGGGTGACTTAGGCAAAGCAGTCTACTGTTGGTGTAAAGTCTGTGTGTCTTTCACAGGAATGAATACTTACCTTGAATTGACAAGTTAGAGAGAAATGTGGACATGGTGCAGGACATGGAGAGAGAGATGCTGATCTATTAGCCCTTGCATTGGAAATGCTCAAGGTAGAAATTGGCTTATGAAGCCAATAGACTGTACATCCACATGACATCACCAGGGCCCATTTTTTTCTCCCTGTCTCCACTCTGCCTTCCACTCTGTTTATGTTATGATCAGGACCACAAAAATCAAGGCTGCAATATAACCAGGTGAAGAGAAAGCATATGCAAAGTGTCATTGTACTTCATTGAATTGCACTGGAACATTCATTCATTATTTCATTCATCCTGCTTCTTTCAAAGAGTTGCTTTCTGATTGTAACCACCGATCATGGCACCCTGGGTTGGCGATTTCATTTCACAAACATATATGGCTTCATAACCTGTCTCTCCAAAAGCAACTAATTAAATCATGATTACTAATTCCAAGTAGCATGAAGAAACCATCTTGAGCCTTCCTCTAGTCCAACAAGAGAGGCCATGAACTGCCTCTCCTCAGCTGTAAAGGAAAGTCTCCAGGAAAGCAAAGGGGACAGCAGCCTCTCAAGATGAGGCTGCAGCTTCCACTGCAAAGCACACATATTCCAATGTCCTTTGAGATCCTTGTGTCATTTTGATCTTTCTTACCTGTGTGTAAAAACAGGGATAATTTTTGGACAAGTCTCTCCATTTAGGCTGGGCAAACATTAAAACATCCAAATTTCCAACTGCCAGGTTCATCCCAACCCAGTGAAATAGGACCAGCACATTGCAGAATAGCACAAATGCAGACTGAGAAGTCTGAAACTCTG